AGTGCGGCGCACATTCCACACATGCGCACTGTGGGCCCGGGACGAGTCGGCTGCTAAGCAGGACAGGCAACGGGGGCAAAAACACCCGGCAGGCAGGATAAATGTCCTCGGCGGGCCACATGTGGCCCTCGGGCCGTAGTTTGAGGACACCTGCTCCAGAGCGTACAACAGATAGATAGATGTTAAACATCCCATCCCTTTTATTTATGTACTTTTTCTTTAGCTAAGCAGATGCAGCAAAATATAGCTGTCAAAATCACCTGAGACATTTCCATTTACTCATATTCTAAGTCTTCCAGGTACATTTGTTAACATGAGAGAAAAATACTTTCCTCAAAAAAAAAAAAAAATTAGTTTTTAGATAAGTGGTTGCCAGGGGCTGGAGGGAGGGCGGCGATACATGAAAAGTGACTGCTTGCGGGGTACGGCATTTCTTTGGGGGCTGATGGGAATGTTCTGGAATCACAGCTGATGGCTGCCCAACACTGAGGATGTGTTAAAAGTGGCTGAACTGAACCATTTAAAATGGTTAAAATGGTGGTTTATGGTATGTTAATTTTATTTCCGTAAAAAATACTTTCTAAAAAAAATTTTTTTTTTCAAGGTTAGAAGTAAAAGGTATTTATTTCAACGTGTTTTCGAATTCAGGATAAACCTAAGGAATTTTAACTGCAGTATTACAAAGTCCCAGGTAATTGGGTGCACCTAGTTTTCGCCTAGATCTCCCACGTGACCCAGGAGGCAGGCTGGGGTAGCGCAGTAACAAGGCCCAGCTGAAGCATAAGGTGTAAAATACCCTTCCAACTGGAAAAGAAGAAGAAGGGGGGCAGAGCCAGGGGCCACGTGGGAAACATACTGCAGCCTGCGTCCAGGAGCGACAGCTACAGCCAATTCTACACAAGCGTTTTTTACTCCGAGGACTGAAAAAAATCAAACCGTTTCCACTGCAACCAATCTGCTCAATGAGACAAGTGCAGTAATGCCACAGGAAAAGCGGAAATTTTTCTTCAACAGAAACACCGTGTATGCATCAGACAAAATTACTGTTGCCGTGGGAATCGTAACTTGAGTTTCCTGGACTTCCAGTTAAAGGAAAATATCTCAACCTAAAAATCTACTGGCAGATTCTGCCCCTATTTAACAAAAAGTCTGTTGCTTTTTCTGAGAACTATTTTATGAAATTAGTTCCCTCCCTGCAACTCAATCTTATTAAAAGCTAGCTTTCCCTGAGTTTTATGCTTTCTGCTATTAAGGACAAATGGCTTCAGCAGTAACCTCAGAATGTGATGCAAATAAATCTGTTAATTGACAAATACTTTAATTGAATTCGATTCCTTTAATCAGAAAGTATTAACCAACTGAAATTTTGCTACATGACTCTAGTTCCCAAAACTCTGGAACTCTCCTTTGAAGCCCTGATATTAAAGCCAGGCACAAAGCCTCTTCCCACGAGGCCTCCCAACCGGGGTGCCCAGCTGAGGAGGGCCCTGGCGTCTGGGAAGTCAGAGCACTGCCACGTAAGCAAAAGAAACAGAGAGGAAGAGCCAACCCCCAGAGGCGCAAGTCCACAATCACAAGTGTCCGAGACGAAAATCACAAACCTGCTACTGCTGTTAAAACTGCAATCCCAACCCCCAGGCCAAGGACCGGTGCTAGTCCGTGGCCTGTTAGGAACCAGTCTACACAGCAGGAGGTGAGCACCCGCAAGCCAGCGAAGCTTCATCCGTATTTGCAGCGGCTCCCCGTGACTCGCATCTCTGCCTGAGCTCCTGTCACATCAGCAGCGGGATTAGAGTCTCAGAGGAGTGCAAATCCTACTGTAAACTGCGCATGCGAGGGGTCTAGGTTGTGGCTCCTTCTGAGAGTCTAATGCCTGGTGGTCTGAGGTGGGGCTGGGGCGGAGGGGAGCGGCTGCAAACAGACCATCATTAGCAGAGAGGTCTGACTGCACGATAAATGTAACGCACTTAAATCATCCTGAAACCCTCCCCTACCCACCCCCACCCCATGAAACTCGTCCCTGATGCCAAAAAGGTTGGGGACCGCTGTGTTAGAAGACATAAAGCAGCAGTGGCGGTTATTGGACAGAAGGGTGACTGTATCTTCTGTGACATTACTACCCCCACTGTGGAATTCCAGGTCACAGAAGGAATACAAAAGCTGCGAGGGTTCTTCTACCACCTGTTTCAACAAATGAGAAGCAAACAACTTATCCCAGTGACAACTGCACCCAAGACAGAACAGGACACACCCTGGGGCCCACCCTTCTGTTGCGCCTGCCTATAAACTTGTCCCCAGAAATGTGTCCTGGCTCCTCTAACTCACGTGGCCTCGGCTGACATCTGCCCTATTCCCTTTGCACATCTTGATTATTTTTCTCATCCTCCGCCTAAAAAGGAGAATGAGAATTTGGAGATTAAGGACTCTAAGCATCTGTTAACTGCCACATTTTCAGACAACACGTTGGGCCTTCCGCGCCACCTCGGGATGGCCTCTGGACCCAACTGCAGGGGCACAGAGGGACCTGCGAAGTATTTACGGAACACACGACACCTTTTAGTTCTGCAAAGTAACAGACATCAGCAAAACACGCTCTTCGAAGCCCGGACAACAGAAGCACGTGTGGATGGAGCTGCTAAGCCCTCTGCCTTCGCCAGTCAGGGCGGGAAAGGTGGTCCTTTGGCTGTAAAGTGACGTTCATCTGCCACCTGCTCCATTATCTTCTCCCTCGTCCTCTGCACAGTCCACTTGGGAAATACAGAAACAGTGGCGTGAAGGATGATAGCAAAATTTTCAACGATCCTGCTGCCCAGGATAACTTTTGCAGGCACCGAATCCAGGCATCCCAGTCTAAGAACTGGGAACACAGCCGCCTCAGAGAAGACCGAGATAAAGACCCTCCAGTTCCTGCAGTTTCAGAGGAATCATTGACCAAGTCAGATGGAGACCAACCTCAGGCCAAAGAGGTGACTGCCAATACTAACCTGCATTTTCCAAACTGAATCAAAACAGGGAGGGAGTCTTTTTTTTTTCACTTGCTTTACATATTTCAACGCTGTCTAATGGAATAGCAGGAACAAGGCCAAACAGCCCCACTTCTCTTGGCACTTGGGCCAGGGAACAGAAATGTATTTTTAGTCAGTGGAGCAAGGCGCGATTCAAAGTACCACAGGCCCACGGGACAAGCCGGGCCCCGCCTGCCTCTGGCACGGCGCCGCTCAGAGTCACCTGCCGCGCTCCTGCTGAGCGTAGGGGGTGGATGAGGGCGCAGTGCATGGGCACTTGTGTCCGGTCTCAGCTCTTCCTCTCACGTCTGCAACTTATGAGACCTTGAGGGAGCCTCGGTTTCTTCTTTAGCAACACAGAGCTGTCTTCTGTGGCCTTGGCTTCCTCCCCAGGTGAGGAACAAGAGGAGTTAAATCAGCATTTCTCAAACTTTAATGTATGCACTAATGGCCAGGGAGTTTGCCAGATGAAGCTTCTGATCCAGCAGGGCAGGGATGAGGCCTGCGAGTCTGCATTCCTAGCAGGCTCAGAGCTGATACGACCCTGTGCTTGAAGCAGCGAGGAGTTACAAGCATGTTCAAGTGCTTTGCTCTATGAATGCAAAAGGAGTTATCACAGCCCTGATTATCCTCACACAAGGGTAACTCATTTAATTTAGCCAACAATTAAACACCTTCCAGATGCCGGACACACGGGCCAAGTGGACACTAAAAAAAAAGTTACACTTCTGCCTACCCATCCAGGGAACAAAGGGCCCAACCTTTACTGCAGTACTTCGCAGTAAGGACGGCCTCACAAAGCCTGCAGCCCTGAAGGTGAGATCTTGCCAAGGCCCAAGCAGCTACGTGACAACTTGCCACCCGCCAGAAGCAGCAGCCACCACTTGTCAAACGCATACTTTGTGACCCGCAGGACGCCAGGAGCTTCACATACATTACACTCCCCGCTCACCCTGGCCTCGCTCTCCCTGCATACAAAATGGGTCAAGAACACATTCTGCAGATGAGGGAAACTAGATTCAGAAAGAGTAAGTGCTCTGTGCAGAACACAGACTTTTAACCCCTAGGATCCCCTGCAACCCCACGATGCCACGGAAGGGCATGTGTGAGCTCCAGACCTGTGTCATGGGGACACAGCACCTCCTGAACCTTGGTGTCAAGAAGAGACACATACAGGTGAGCAAACGAATTAGGACACCCCCCCCCACCATCAAACTAAAATACAAATAAGCAAGGCTGGAGTGGAAACAGGAAATTCGGCGTGAAGAGGGAGGTGCTCTGCCAATAAAATCTGCCTGAGAAAACTGCTGGACTCACAGCTGGTTTATCTGGAAAGACCTCTGGGTGAGTTTACGACACGCATGTGCGTCCACCTGACTGCTCAAGAAATGGGGGCAAGGCCAGTGCTCTGTTCTCTAGCAAAGACTTTTTCCAGCTCAAATGATAACATCCGTATGGCTTCCTTCCTTTCCTTTTCAGTTAAGGCCCTTTACACCCTTTTGCATTTCCAGCGTGTTGTCTATGATAATATACAGGTTGCATTTTGTCTAACATTTGACCATGACAACTCATTCCTTACGTTTATGTTGGTTTCAGAGGTCTGGGGGCACTTTCTTTTTTTTAAAGCCATAAAAATAAAACTAAGTCACATTACCAAATTCAGTGGCACAAAGAAGAGCTTGCTGTCTTAGAATCGACACACCTTCCTTTAACTCCAGTTTATTCACCAAACTTGCAGCTTAACCACCAGGAGCAAGAAACCTAGCTCCATGTACCTCTGGGTATTAAAAAAGACCCATTTCCTCCCAAATCCAGAAATGAGGCAAAACTTCCAGCTTTTAATACTGCAAACCCCCAAACAGCAAGCATTTGCCATGATCACCAGGGGCACCGGGAAAAGGCCATTCTCCGCCAGTGAGCGCGTGAACTCAAGTTCTGCCACAACCCCCACAGCCTCCCCACTCAGCCCAGGGCTGCCCGAACGGCCCCACTCACAGAAAGAGAGAGACGACATGTGACGAGGCGGCACCCAGGGACGGGATGGTTGTCAGCTCGTTATTGCTGAGGTACCTGCAACGACAACAAGAAGAAATCGGTCATTTAAAGCATTTAAATTAGTAGTCTGGAATCATACACATACAAGGAAAATAATAATAATAAAAAAACACTGCTGAGTAAGCCATAATAAAACTATATTCCAAGGTTGGGTAAGAAATAAAGAATGTAGGAGTTTTTAAAGGGAGACAAGTGGGGTCACAAAAAATAACCATGTATCACACCTGTGGTTACAAATAAACACTAAGGAGAAACATCTCCTGTCACCCACCCTCCCGTCTTTTCATGATGCTCAGAAATCTATAGGAACAGACAAAGAACGGCGAGAAAAGGCCAGGATGCAGGTTCCAGACAAAAGTGTCCCCAAGACCCTTGCCTTGACAAGAGTGGTCCCTGCAGGCTGAAACCTACCCTTGCCAGAGGGCCAGAGACTCACTCTCCCTGGCTTGCCTGCAGTTCTGAGGGGTTTGTGACACCAGGGACAATTATGTCAATGCCTCATCTGTGAAATAACAAGGGAGCTGGACTCAGAGACTCTCATCCATTTGAGGTTCCAGCTTCTCTGGGCTCTGACAAAGGCTCTGGTCTTGTCTTCCAGGAAAAACGAACGCATATATACACACTTTTGCACACAGACATTTTGAACCTTCTCTGCAGATAAGATTTGCTCTCCAAGCTCCCTACCTGCTCAAACATCCTAAATCTGTATTTCCACAGTTAACATCTCTCAATGGAAGGGAAAGCCCATGAACCAAAGCACAGCTCGCCGGGTCTGCCCCCAGAGGCTGTGTAAGCTGGCCTCCTTACATGGACATGTATTTCTAAATCTGGAAAGAGAATCCAAAATCAGACTTGCAAAGTGAGCCTAAAAATCTTTAAGGAAGCCAAAGCACAGTGTTCAAGCTTTCTGCCGAGCGATGGGCTAGAAAGAAATTGTAGCTGGGATGCAAAGTCAAGGGTGTAAAACTGGGTTATCTTATTCTCTATGCCTTAAGGGAGGTGTGTCTCGCACAGCATCTTGTTACTGTTTGAAGACAAGGCCACTGAAATGACAGCTGTATTCACACAAACATACAGCTAGCATTTGCTTGAATAATCTGGGTGTCTGCCATCTTTTATAGAATGAATAGGAGGGGAGGGGGTGAAAGGAAAGGCCTTGAATTATCCCATTTGCTTTCTTTGGTGCCAAAGCCAGTTAGGGGTGAAGCTGGGCAATTAGTGGGCTGTGGGACACAGAATGCCTGCTGCAATAGCTTCATGACTGAAGCATCTGGCAGAGAGAAAGCAGATCCGTATCATGTGGCAAATCCTTTCTCCACTTAAAGGGCCCTTGTTTGTGTGTTGAAATAGACAATTAATTACGTTAACAGTCTCTTATCTGACTGCCCCCTAAATCAGATTGTTTCTGCTTCACCTTTTATCTGCTCCAACCCTGCTGTGATCCACTTCCCACGGTGGTGCAGGGATACTGAAAAACCCCCATCAGTCTTAATCTCTACTAATAAATTTTCACAGTACTCATCAATGCACTTATTACAAGAGACCCTCAGGTTTTAACAGAGCAAGAAAAACTAAGATCAGAGGTCTGCTGCCACTCAGGCAGCTTGTCTAAGACGCTCCCTCTCCCCTTTCTTTTTTCTTTTTTTTTGAGACAGGGTCTCACACTGTTGCCCTGGGTAGAGTGCAATGGCATCATCATAACTCACTGCAGTCTCAAACTCCTAGGCTCAACCAATCCTCCTGCCTCAGACTCCCAAATAGCTAGGACTACAGGCATTCGCCACCATGCCCAGCTAATTTTTTCTATTTCTGACAGAGATAGGTCTTGCTCTTGCTCAGGCTGGTCTTGAACTCCTGAGCTCAAGCAAACAGCCTTGGCCTCCCTGAGTGCTAGGATGATAGGCGTGAGCCACCATGCTCAGCAGAACTCTTCATTTCTCAGAGATTTATTCTGAAACACAGAGGGTGGTGGTAATAAGAGTAACCGCTGCAAGTAACTGAATGAAAGCTTCCTATGTGCCAGGCCTGGATCTAAGCACTTTTCAGTGTATTAACTCATCTTTAGAGCCCGGGAAGTAGGTCCCAGGAACATTTCCACGACACCGACAAGGAAACTGAAACACTGAGATGTTAAGCAATCTGACCAAGGTCACCAGCGATAAGTGGCCAGTGGCCCAAGGGTGTCTAGCCCCGAAGTCTAGGTTCTTCGCCATTACCCTCTATTTCTTTATAATTGCGGCAGAAACTCTGCATGCCTATGTCATTTCACCATCACCACAGCTTTGAGTTAGGTACCAGGTACTTCAATTGTTCCCTACTTTACAGGTAAGTTCTCTAAGCCAGTTTTAGTAACTAGGGAGGACACAGCCAAGAGCTGAACAATGTATGACTGCAAATCAGAGGAGAGCAACAAGCTAAAAGACCAGTAAGCACAGGGCAAGCCGGAAAGCTCATAATGCCTTAGGTAACATAGCAGTTGTTTTTCAGCCTGCTTTACAATCTGACTTGATTTTAAACCTGAAACAAAGCATATGGACTTCTCTGCCAGGGAACTTTGGCTGACGAGCTTGGTTTCAGGCCAGCCATACTATACATATGACAGACTGCTCCACCCAATTTCACAGAAATAAACAAACAGGGAAAAGGGGCATAATAATATTTCCAATCTTGAAAGAACTGCTGGAAGTGGAGGATACAGGGGTAGTGGACCAGTGGAGATTATTAGCAAGGCGTTGTAAGCCAAGATGAGCCCAAGTCAATGGCCTCAGGCAGAAACAGCAGGCTCTAATCTCAATAGGGCTGCCTGGTTTAGGAAGAAGACAGTTGGAGCCCAAAGGAGAGGCACTGCACAGAGAGCTTACTTCTAGATCGTTTCTACTTAAAAAAGAACCACTGGCTAAATATAAGTCTGTTCACTCCACCACCACTGGCTGCTGCTTTGTTCCGTCTAGCCCCCGTTGAAAAGAGAACACTACCTCCAAAAGGCAGTAGAGGCCCAACGCGCTGTGAGATGCAATGAACTTCTTGCCAGACTGCAAGAGAGACGTTTCAAAAATAGCACAGCTAGAGCGCTGAGGGAAAAGGCACTCGGGGAGTGTAGCGGAGTCTCTATGAACAAGGAAATTTTAGGAATTAAAGACCGTGTGTGATGAAATGTTTTGCATTTCCAGAGCTGTGAAGTCTTCCACCCCTCACACCTTCCCAGTCTACTCTCCTCCAAAATTTACTTCCACTCAAGGCCTTAAAAATCTTTCTGAAACGTCTGGCTTCTGCAACGAAACCTGGCGTTGATGATTCAGGATTAAGAAGGGCCTCAGATGCACCAGGCCATGACTCACGGCCAGACCCTGGAGCTGGGGAGGGCGCAAGTGAGGTGCGTGGGTTGTCTGAGCCCAGGGCGAAAGCCGGGGGTGGGACCTTTCAGAACACCATCCGGAAGGTCAGCTTGGACTTTCTGGCCCCTCAACTTTCTCCCCAAATGTCCATTTATTTGGCTAGGTTAAAGGAAGTTCTACAGTTTGCAATATGCAAAATGTTATAAAGGATACTTCACAGTATACCACCACCACCACCACCACCACCACCATCTAATCAAATTTGCCTTCAATAAACACTGCAAAACCAACCAAGGAGTAATTTTCAGCTTTCGCACTGTTTCTTACCTTCTTTCTTTCTTTCTTTCTTTCTTTATTGAATAGTTAATCTTAATATTCAGTAAAATTTTCAAAACATTTCAAAAAAGAATATGGGAGTTTAAAGTGAAAAATAAAGCTTCCTTGTACTTCAGGCATCTGGTCTGTCTCCAAGGGGAATCTCCTGCTACTAGCTACCAGAGAGGGACATATGTTTTTCTTCTGCACAAACGCCTATGTATTATACAGATTGTTCTGCACTGCTGTTTTTCCCCTTAGTGATATGTCTTGGAGCTCTCTACAATTCTTTTAAGCAGCTGCTGGGCAGTCCTCTCCTGGTATGAATGAGCCATAATTTATTTAGCCAATCCAATACTGATAGACTTAGCAGCTATTTTTTGGTTGCTTCCAAACACAGAGCTGCAATTAATAACAGTCGAAATTGGGCAGGGGGTTGGAACTTGGTTGGTCTTGTTTCTTAAAAGAGAGAAAACCATCGGGAGCAGGGAAGAGCACAGATTCGGGAGTCCAAAATAATAAGTTAATTAATAGCTTATTATGCTTTAGTTGCTTGAGAATAACACACACTAAATAATTGCCCCAGCAAGATTTTATGATATGTAGTTTCTATACCAGATGGCCCGATAAAGTTATTTAGTATAATGATATAGGATATAGTTAATTTAACAATTATAAACAATAACATAAGTAATAAGGTTGAACACCTACTATGTGCCAAGCCCTGTCCTAAATTCTTTATGTGTAGTATCTCACTGAATGATATGGCAACCCTTTGAGAAAGGTACTAAATTATCACCTCACCTTAAAAGAAGAAACTGAGGCAGAGCTACTGAGCAGCAGAGCAGGGATCATTAGCACCGGATGTTAAAATCAGGTCTGCTGTTCCTGCAACCACAACTCCACCCCTCACCAATCCAGCGCTAAGCATGTGACTTAACCTTGCTGTGCCTTAGTTTCCTCTTCCGAAAAATGTTATTTAATAAATACAAAGACGAGATTTGGAGGGATTATGGCAGGATCCAGCCGAAATAATTAAACCTAAGCGCTTAGCATATAGCCAGATATATGGGACATGCTTAGGAGATGGCAGTAATTCATAGCCAAAAAGCAGTGTCTCAAAACAACAGCCCTCCCTGTTCCCCTCTGCCTAAACACACCACCGCCATGCCCGCTACACACACCGGGGGACAGCGGCCTGGCACAGAGCAGGGGGGCCACAGACACCCGATGGCAGGCATACTCCAGGCCTCCTCACCACCCTGAGGAACATTTTAGGTCAGTGGCCCTGGCAGGCGCATAGCGGCACCCACAGCAAGCACTGGCAGGCCAGGTGGCAGTAACGCGATCCCGGGCAGTTTCCACGGAGTGCTGTATAAATAGCCCCTCCTATTAATAGAGCAGCCTTGCCGTCCAGGCCCCGGCTGGAGGCACTCCCCGGTGGGCTTTCCTCAGGGCTGTGGGCAGTGAAGACCGTGTGGCTTGGAAGCAGCTGCACAAGTGTCCGTGTGTCCTCCAGGGGCCTCCAAGGGCTTGCCGTCTTTCTCCAATCGGCCCGAGATGTTCTGTGGTTCTGGGGCCTCCAAACCAAAACCACTGCTAAACCACCGCCCGCTGCTCCGCCGGCCTGTGGCTCCTGCCCTGCCCAGGACTCGGGGCTCTGAGGTCTCTGCGGCGCTTGGGAGAACTGACAGCCCCTGGCACATGCTCAGCTCAATTACTTTTGAAGCAATGGTGTGTCAGCTACAATGTTCTTCTCTTTAATGTCCTTCCCCGCCCTCACTCCTGACAGCCGCTTTCTGTCTGCACAACATAATAGAATTCCCCAAGGGAAAGGCCTGGATATTTATCAGTGAGAGGTTCTGCTCCTCTGGGCACCAGTGAACTCGTCTTATCCATCCCACAGGACAGGAAGTGACACCAGAGACAGGATATGGGCACAGTGGTAGGAGGTTCAACCTGCCAGCTCTCAAGGACTTGTCTCTAAACAATACACCAAGCTGGGGGGAGCGGTGCTGGAAGGTTCCAAAAAGCAGAAGGGAAATACATTCAGTGAGCCTTCCCCATGTGCAAAGCGCTATACGTCGCCTTCAATAAATAACTATAATAATGCTGATAATGTGTTGTGATGTCAGTATTTTAGAAGGCAAGGAGACACTGAGAAATTCCTTGTCTAGGGACGCAGACCTGGTAAGAGGCAGAACCAGAACTCAAACTCAGGTCTGTTTACTACCGAAATGAACACTTTTCCCCTTGCACCATACTGAATCCATAAGACACGATCTCTGTCTTTATACCACCCATACTCAGGAAGGTAGTGCTGCCACGGAGTGTGACCAGGAGTTAGACTGGGGGCACAGGCCCACGGCCCATGCCCCAGTGCCTTCGACTCTCTGAAGCTGGAAGGGAGAATAAGGAGCGCTTGGCACGGCGGCTAGTCACGGCCAATGTCCATGAATGCACTGGCAGAAGGAGGGAAAGAATTCACACACAAAACAGAAAGAGCACAGGACAGGGCTTGAAATACTTTACATGATAAAGTATTTAAAAATGTAAGGGTAAGTAGGCAGGAAAGATGTAAAGCCATAATATAGTCTGATTCTAAGATGATGTGCGTACAAGTATATACTTTTCACTGAGTGTTACAATGGCCATGCCTGGGTGATAATACTGGTGGTTTTCATTCTTCACACATTTCTATAGTTGCCAATTTTCCTGCAGTATGCATGCATGACTTTCATGAACATTCCTAGTAAAATCGCTAAGGAGCTAAACCTCCTGATAATCCCAACATCCATGTCAAAAGCTGAGTTCTTTACATTAAAAAGGACACTGCAGTCTGATTTAAAGGGCACTGCAAGCAGCAGCAAGCCTAGAGCCCCAAAGGCAGTAATGCCCAGCTCTGTTTGTGGAGGGGAAAAGACAAGCCTCTCTTGTCTACCCTTCTACACGCCTGTTTCCTGGGAAACAGAGGGGGGGGCTGGCATCGCACACCACTGTTGAGTGGGCTGTTCGACCTTCCTGGGAACTGTTGAGAAAGTACCAGCCCAGGTGTGTTACCCTGGGGACTTGGCTATACACCCACTGTGTACCCATCATTTCCAGGAACTCTGTGCCTACTGGATCGTAACACACCCTTCTAGCATTGCCTAGGAAGGAGAGAGAAGCGGCAGCAATGGAGAGTTAAGGAAGTAGCACGGTCCGTCACCAACAGCCTGTACATAAATGGTCCTCCCCACAAGTTTAGCCTGCTGCTCTAGAGAAGCCAACAACGCTGCCATAGGAGAGGACACTCCCAAAGAGCACGCGCCCCTCCACCCGCAGGGGCTTGGGGGAAGCACTCACACTTCCTGCAGATTCGGCAAGTCCTCAAAGCCAGCAGGGTCGATCTCAGAGAGTTTGTTGTAGCTCAGGTTTCTGGTAAAGGGAGGAAAAAGATAAAAAAAGTGAACCAACACTTGGCATCACACGCAAGATGCAGGAATCTTCTGCCCCACTTCACCACCAATAAAATCTAAACCCTCTGCCCCTCATAATTACCCGTTTCATGCATTATTTTAAGTAACCCACTGATACCACAGAGATTTATAGATACACCTCTCCCCCGGTTCCATCCATAAACAAGGCACTCCAAGCAATCCTGTGAGGATCCACATCACCTGAGGCTGGCTAAACCCAAATGGATTCCAACCGATACCGTCTCATTACTCGACATTTAACCACTTCGTGTGGCGCTCACCGGCCGCAAAACCTTGCCCACAGCCGGCACTCACGGTCCGCACGACGGTTTGGGTTGTGCATGGACGACGCATCCGTTTTGCTCGTGTGATGAGGAAACCTTTAAAGCACTGAAAGCTTGTTTTACTTTACAGGCAGCTTTACTTGTAATGTAAATCAGAACGGGTAACATATACATATGTTACCATATGTTACCATATGTAACACATGTTACCACATGTAACATATATATAACATATACATACGTTATTTTTAAATGTTCACAATTTTATTTTGATAAATGAAAAATTAGAAAAGTCTTATCACGGCTGTCGGCTAAAGTCGCTGTGCACGTTCATCTGTGACTGTCGACTGTAGTCGACGCTCGTACCAAAGTGGTTAAAGAAATTCTAAAGTGAGCCAGTCTTCCATCTACGTTAAAGTGCTATGGTCCAAACACTTTGCATCATATCAAGCCCAAGGCTATTCTTAATGACGCTTTTTTTTTAAATTAATGTTTTAGTAAAGCATCAACATTAAGCAGTAGTAAAGGAAAAGGGAAAAGGGGGAGAGGGGACCCTTCAGAATCTAAACCAGTAGTTCTCAACCAGCAATGACTTTGCCTCCCAGGGGACATCTGAGACAGTCTAGAGATATTTTTGGTCATCATACCTGGGGGGGAATGGTGTTACTGGTATCTGGTGGGTAAAACCCAAGTATACTGTGTTTGCTTTGGCAGCACATGTACTAAAAGCCAAGGATACTGCTACACATCTCACAATGGGGGGCAGGCAGTCCCCACAACAGAGAATGACCCACCACCCAATGTCACCATTAGCATTCAGAGCTTGAGAACCCCGGTCTCACCAAGAACTTAAGACTAAAACTTGCTCAGATGTGCAGTCAAAGCTCAAGTGACTGTAGGAAAGCGAGCACTGTTAAGATCCTGAATCATCAGGCTACTCAGGAACACGGTATTCCTACCAGTGAGGAATACACTGCGAGTAAGAGTCGCACGCAAGACAGGGGCCGGCTACTGGACATTCACGTTGGTGTTAACAACGCAGGGAAAGCCTCTTGTGAACAGCCTTCCCAAGATGACAGTGTCTGTCTCAGTTGTTCAGAATTCCACCTCTCACGTGATCATCCAGCCACACCCTGACAGGCAGACCCAGAGCAAGCCGGGCAACATTCGCTCAGCTCTCTGAACCCAGTGTCACCCCAGACCAGCCTCTTCTTTCAGGAGAAGCAGCCACAAAGAGGTGATCCAAACGGGCCCTAACTTATTTTGCACTGTAATCTTGCTCCCAGCCACCCAAGTCCACCTAGCCTTGTGCATGCCAGAGAGCTTAACGTTTTTCATCTCGGCTATTAAGTCCACTGACATTACTGCCAATTAACAGTACTACTAATCATGAGTTTAAAGTCTGTCTCTTAAAGTGCCACATAAGTGGCAACTGCCTTTTAAGTTTACTCCAGAGACATTTCAATCAATACTAATTCAGAGCTGATAGCCATTTCCCTGTGAACTCAAAGACATTCATCTAAATAAAAGTCAAACTACACTTGAAACTAATGGTGCATCTGTATTCATGGCACAGCCTGATTAAAAGTAATTTGTTCGGAGATTATGTTACTGTAAAGGCTGAAGGTGGTAATTTTTTAAACCACATATTGAGGTCAAGTGTGAACTTGTCTATGCTTGGGGGTATTTACTGATGGATACACAGAAATTCCAAGTCAGACTTGGGAAAGAAAACCCACAAATTGAAACAATTCTCCCACATCAGAAAAAGAACTGGACAGACCAAGAGTTCCTATTATTTTGGGCAGGTTATCATAAAAGGAGGAATGGAAATATTGTTTCTGGGTATAAAGATACCGTAAGCTTGGAAGGGCAAGCAAGTAACGCAGCGGTGACCCTGCCCCGTTTGGAATGAGGCACATGCCCACCCGCCCACCTAAAGGGGCCTTTATTTCTCATCTCCTGAAACAAGCGCCAGTATGGACCAATCTTCTCGGTTTTCCAGAGGAGCTCAAAATCCAAATTCTTATGTGAAATCTTTTATTTAAAAAAAAAAAAAGTAACCACTGATAGCCAAACAAAACATATCTGCAGGCCACATTTGGCCTAAGGACTGCCAGTTTTCGCCTCTGATCTAGGCCACTGCCTCTCGGGGCTATTAGTTCAAAGGGAACGGCTTGTTTCTGGCTCACACATGTGGCCGGGGTGGGGCTAGGGCTCACCGGGTCTTACGCAATCTGCTGATGGCTCCGCTTTGAACCATCTGAAATGAGATCACTTTCCTCAACCCCCACCCAGCAAGTGTCCATAGTCTTCAGCAATTTGGAATAAAACCATTTGATGGCACAACACCTTTTGGTTTGCCTTTCCATTAAAGAGTAGAAAAAAATGTATTCAGGTGTCAAATGTATAAATTCCACTTTTTCTATCAGGCTACCTAAGAAAAGGGTCTTCCATATTATCAAGAAGCCAAGTGGTGTCAGGACTTGACACTGGGAGGTCAAAAAGTGGCAATACATATGAAGACACTCACTTATAAGTTGAAACTTAAGTTTTCACTGGGTCAGCCTGGATGCAGTGACTTTTAGAGTTTCAGTGAGCTAGAAAAGCCACGTGTCAACAAACAAGTGGCAGGGTACTGCCTACAAAGGGTGACTCTCCTCTCAGAGCACCTGTTGCCAATACAGAGAGAAGACAGCACCGAAGCTCACGTCCCTTGGAACAGTTTCTGCTGTGGACACAGAGCCGCTCCAGCTTTTGAGTCTGAGAAGTGGTCTGGAAAGAGCCGCTGACTGAAAATGAGGAAAATATTTATTATATTCTCCCTGACAAAGATAGCATGAAATAAAATCCTCAGAGACACTTTTTTGTTGGCCCATTTTAGGAAGACAAACTCTTGGCATGCTTTCTTCTTTATTGTGGTGAAATATACATAATATAAAATTTACTATTTTAACCATTTCAAGTGGACTGTTCAGTGGGTGTTAAGTACATTCTCACTGCTGTGTGACCATTACCCACTATCCACCTCCAGAACTTTCTCAACATCCCAAACTGAAACCCTGTACCCACTGAATACTAACTCCCCACTCCCCTCTGCCCCAGCCCCTGGCAACCACCATTCCTCTTGTGTCTCCACGCATCTGACTACTCCAGGTACCTCACGGAAGTAGAATCACACGGTGTTTGGGTGACTTCTGTGACTCCTATTTCACTTCCGTTATTTCACTTAACATAATGTCTTCGAGTTTATCCATGCTGCCGTATTTGTCCGGATTCCATTTCTTTCTAAGGCTGAGTAATATTCCATTGTATGTGTAGACCTCATTTTGTGCAACCATCTGTCTGTCAACAGACATTTGGGTCGTTTCTACTTTTGACTATTGTGAATAACATTGCTATGAACATTGGTGTGCTTTTTTTCTAAATTTTTAGTTTTTAAGCAAAGCGTTTTTGGTTTTTTTTAATCTCTTTCTTATGCTTACTGACAGCACTCATTTCTCAATGATCAAGGAAATCTTACTCAGACCAAGAAAGGGGTGTGAATTCTCATCTCAGATCCTAGGAACAATCAAAGGGTTAACCAGCGAAAACCTTAACGAGGGCTTTCAGGTGGCAGCTGACATGCACACACATCTAAAGCATCCCACTCATTTCTGTGAACACGAGCGCCCCTCACCAGGCCTGACATCTGAATGTGTCTTCAGTTGAAGGTTTTGGATTCTCCTGTCAAAACAATTCATCTGTCAGCGGGACAGATGCTGTCAAAAGCATTCCTGTACCTTTCAGTAGCAAAGGAGAGAGGAAAAGAAACCTCAGGGAATTTAGTTACTGCCAATTGCAGTTTTCATTAAACATTTTGTCAGCCATTGTCATAACACAAATTTTCCCTGTTCCTGCACAAAGCGTGCGCAGATCTTTGAACGGCTGAGCCCGGCCATAGATATTCTTTCAGCTAATCTGCTGAAAGGTGACCGCACAGCCCGCTGTTTGCAGAACACACAGGAGGCACCTCTGCAGCGAGCGGCTCAGGTTTTATGCAGGCGTGTCTGAAAAGCACACTGTTTAACAGTAAGAGGCAACAGTCTGCCAGTGGAGCGTGTCTTCTGACAAGCCCTCCTACCCCAGCCCCAAAGAATTCGGAAAGCTCAAGTCTTCCAATAGCTGAGAAATCCCCACCACCATCTAAACCTGCATTGTCCAATTTGGTAGCCACTAGCCATGTGGCTATTTACATTTATATTTAAACTAAATTAAAATCACATAAAATTAGGAATTCACTTCTTTGGTCACACTTGCCATCGTTCGAGTTTCAACAGTCACACGGGGCTAGTGGCTACCAAATCGCACAATGCAGACAGAAGACGTTTCTATCAAGTAATCAACAAATATGTTTGAATCATGAAATAATCCATAAATATTTCAAGTGAAATGGTACCTATAGAAGAAACTTTGATTTTAAAAATAAATCTCAGTTTCCCAATAATTCAAGAGCTTTGTAGAAAAACACGGTGAGAGCTGGACGATGACATTAACTCAAGTCCTTTAAGCACACCAAGTTCTGGACCGATCCCCACAGGGGAAGGGACAGGGCCTTTGAACACGGAAGTCACTAGGAAGGCACCATTCATTAAAAGTGCCTTCGGAGTGTAATGCTATGGAGCCTTTGCATAAT